AGTTTTTCCCTGTTGGTGTTTGCTTACAGGAACCAAAATTACACTCTGCTGTTATCTCTCCCATCTCAGGTATAATTTATTGTATTTTCAGATCCTTTTTCCCGATGGGACCTTTTAAAGAAAGTGCCCTTTTCTACGCACTGATATTCTGTACCATCAGCTATTTGAAGATTGAGACACTTATGCAGCATATGGGAATCTTTATTCAGGAAACGTTTCGCCACACAGTGGCTTCATCAGTCCAATACAAAGAGGAAGGCGTAAGGAGAGAGGAGAATGAGGTAATCAGTCCCTCAGCCTGGAGTCGATGTGTTCAGTCCATCAAGATTGATGGACTGAACACATCGACTCCAGGCTGAGGGACTGATTACCTCATTCTCCTCCTCTCCTTACGCCTTCCTCTTTGTATTGGACTGATGAAGCCACTGTGTGGCGAAACGTTTCCTGAATAAAGATTCCCATATGCTGCATAAGTGTCTCAATCTTCAACTTGTCGGTTTTTCAAACCATTCATCACATCAGCTATTTGTTCGTACTTCGCTGCATTACACAGCAGCCCGCATCCACTTGCATAGGTGGTATACGCTCTGTTCTTTATATCTCTCTCCTTCTCGGGCATTATCTATTCCAGATATTGCCTTTCTTGTTACGTCATTACCGCCACCAATTCTGTTACTTTGCGATTTTAATGCCCACCATTTCCTCTGGGGGGGTCTTACTGTGATTCCCGTGGCATTCAGTTAGAGGCTTTTCTTGCCACCCACCCCCTCCATGTTTTAAATACAGGTACTCACACCCATTTTGATCCTCGGACTCACAATCTCTCTTGCATCGATATCTCAGTCTGCTCTTCCTCCGCCGCATTAGACTTCACTTGGTCTGTTCTCCCGGACTTACATGACAGCGATCATTTCCCAATCATTCTTACTTCCCCTCCATATTCACCACCTCTTCGCATCCCATGCTGGCAATTTGATCAGGCAAATTGGAACCTTTACTCACACCTAACTGTTTTTAGAGAGGTTCCTTCTTCGTCCTCCATCGATGAGCTTTTACACCTCTTCTCGTCCTCTGTTTTAACCGCAGCTTCTAATTGTATACCCCAAACTTCGGGCAGGCATTCTCAGAAATGTGTGCCTTGGTGGTCTCCTGCTTGTGCTCGTGCAGTACGTTTGAAACGCGCTGCATGGGGCAGGTACCGGTACAATAGAACCACAGAGAGACTTCTTGATTTTAAGCAGAAGCGTGCGATCGCTCGCTGTGTCATCCGTGACGCTAAACGCACTTGCTGGCGAGATTATGTCTCCACCATCACCTCTGCTTCCTCTATGAGTGCAGTCTGGAAAAAAGTACGAAAACTGAGTGGTAAATATTCTCCTGACCCGGCTCCTGTTCTGCGGGTGGCCGGTGTTTATATAGCAAACCCACTAGATGTTGCCAATGAAATTGGCAATCATCTGGTCCGTATTTCTCAGGGACTCCATCTATGCCCCTCATTTCTTTCCTCAAAGTCTGCCAGAGAGTTAGCACCCTTGGACTTTTCTTCTCTCAGAGAAGAACAGTATAATGTGCCTTTTACACTTCAAGAACTGGAGGCAACACACTCAGCTTGCCGATCATTGGCAGCTAGGCCCGACGACATTCGTATTCATATGCTACAGCATTTACATCAGTCAGCCCTTGCAGTCCTATTACGCCTTTACAATCTTATTTGGTCACAAGGAGTTGTTCCACAGCTGTGGAAATCCGCCATTGTTCTCCCTTTCCGCAAACCAGGCACTACGGGACATGAAGCCTCCCACTATCGTCCCATTGCACTTACCAGTGCAGTTTGCAATGTGATGGAACGCCTAGTAAATAGACGTTTAGTGTGGTATTTAGAGACACATAACAGTCTCTCCACTCGTCAATATGGCTTTCGTAAGGGACGTTCTACCATAGACCCCTTACTACGCTTGGATACGTATGTTCGTAATGCCTTTGCGAATAACCACTCAGTTATTGCCATATTTTTTGACCTTGAGAAGGCATATGACACAACTTGGAGGTATAATATTTTAGCCCAAGCCCACTCCTTACGCCTTCGAGGCAATCTACCATCCTTCCTTAAGAACTTTTTAACCGACAGGCATTTCCGTGTTCGGGTTAATAATGTGCTCTCCCCGGACTTTATCCAAACTGAAGGTGTCCCCCAGGGATGTGTTCTGAGCACAACACTTTTTCTCCTTGCTATTAATGATTTGGCCTCTAGTCTTCCATCAAATATTTGGTCATCACTCTATGTTGATGACTTCGCTATTTCCTGTGCAGGCGCTGACTGTCACCTCATTACAGTTTCTCTCCAGCATGCACTCAACCGTGTTTCCAATTGGGCCACCACACATGGGTTTAAATTTTCCAGCACTAAAACCCACCAAATTACTTTCACTAGACGCTCTGTCGTCTCTGATCATCCTTTGTACCTCTATGGCTCCCGTATCCCTGAACGTGATACAGTCAAGTTTCTGGGCCTCCTCTTTGACTGTAGGTTATCCTGGAAACCTCACATTACCTCTCTGAAGGCAACCTGTCACAGCCGGCTGAACCTTCTTAAAACCCTTCCTCATCTTTCATGGGGAGCTGATCGTCGAACCCTCCTTCGCCTACATTCCACCCTCATTTTATCGAAACTTGATTATGGTGACCAGATCTATTCAGCGGCATCTCCTGCTACTCTCTCTAGCCTTAACCCCATTCATCACCAAGGATTACGTTTATGCCTTGGTGCTTTTCGCTCTTCCCGTCAAGAGCCTCTATGCAGAAGCGAAACGTTCCCTCCTTATCCGATCGCCGTGATGTCCATTGCCTTCGCTACTATGTACGCTCTCATGATCTCCGCAATCCTTCCATTTATAGAATGGTCACTGATATTAGTAGACATTCTTTATTTGTTCACCACCCCTGTTTACTCCGTCCCTTCTCTCTTCGCCTTCATTCGCTCTTGTCTTCTCTTCAATTACCACCTTTCTATGTACATGTAGCATCTCACTTTTCCCTACCCCCTGGGAAGTTCCAGCTGTTCGAGTCTGTTCTTTCTCTCTCCCTTGCTCGAAAGCCCAACTGTCTACGGTTGCTTCCCGCTCTCTTTTTCTTGACCACTTTCACTCTCATTCTCATGCCATTGCTGTGTACACAGATGGCTCTAAGTCTTCTGACGGCGTAGGATTCGCAGCAGTGTTTCCGGACAGCGTCGTACGAGGGCATTTACTATCTTCGGCTAGTATTTTTACTGCTGAATTGTATGCCATCCTTACAGTACTTATCCATATTGCATCTATGCCTGTGTCATCATTTGTGGTTGTCTCAGACTCCCTTAGTGCTTTACAGAAATTTGATACACCTCACCCCATAGTCCTCCGTATCCAACTTTGGCTATGCCGCATCTTTACCAAACGTAAAGATATTGTTTTTTGTTGGGCCCCTGGTCATGTTGACGTACAGGGCAATGAACAGGCAGATACTGCTGCGCGGTCAGCAGTACATGACCTACCAGTTTCATATAGAGGTATTCCATTTACGGACTATTTTGTTGCAATATCTTCCCACCTTCACACTCGTTGGCAACAACGTTGGTCTGCTATGCTCAGCAACAAACTTCAATCTATTAAACCGAGTATAGGTTACTGGCCGTCTTCTTATCACCAGTGTCGAGGTTGGGAGACTACTTTCTCCCGTCTTCGCATTGGCCATACTCATCTTACTCATGGATATCTCATGGAGAGGCGCCCTGCTCCTCTCTCTGAGAATTGCCAAGCTCCATTATCAGTCAGCCACATTCTGTTGGACTGCCCACTTTATCAACGAGCACGCAGAATTTACCTCCATTGTCGTCTTCGCTCCGCTGCTCTCTTTACCTTTTCCCTTCTCGCTGATGGACCCACCTTTCATCCAGACTCTCGCATTGATTTTTTGACAACAACTGACTTACTTGACAAATTCTGATACCTTCAGCCCTTTCTACTTCAATCTCTTGCTACCCTCTACCCCCGTACTATCCCCTGCCCCCACGGTTTTCTGTAACCTACTGATCATCCCTCCTCCCTTCTGCCATCCAATACCCTCGCTTCCTTCCCTACCATGCAGCGCTGTATAGCCCTTGTGGCTTAGCGCTTCTTTTTGATTATAATAATAATAACAGTACGAGATTCATTAACCACTTTTACACAAAGTTTGACATCTTTACCTTGATCCAGGGAACTGGCCCCAATCTGTCCTTGGATCAGATGTGAATACCTCCCATTCCCAAGGTATATGACCCCTACAGGTTTAGTGTTTCCCAATGATTAAAAATAAATCTAATATTTTTTCCTCAAGGGCCAGCAGGCTGGCAGCAGCAACAGTCTGGTTGACCAGGTAAGAACTAGCCACGTTTGGCCTAGTGCTGTGCTGCAGTAGGAAAACTCTCAAAACCCATCAAAGGGGAGGGGGTTTTGATCCAAGAAACTAGACTCTCTCTCTCTTGAATCAAATCTCAGTACTTCCCATTCCCCAGAAGCTACATGACCCCTATGGTTTAGCACTTTCTTGATTGAAATAAACTCACTGTACAGGATCACAGCCTCATTTGGTTATCTGTTTTTGCTTGAATAAAACCTCACCATGGAGAATTACACTAAATGGTGCTGGGAACTTTTACTGTCTAAGAGTCGATACTAGAGGGAGAGCAAGTATACCTATACATAGAAGATAAGCAAGATATCAGACAGGGTATGAATGATTGAGGAATCTGTTTTGTGTTAGACTCTCAAGAGACAGGTTACTAATTTTATCTTACAGAAAGTTTTTTTTAAACATGAAAAGTATATTATATATACTCCTTCATAATTATTATAATCAAATAAAGTGCTAAACTGACAAGGGTCATGTACCTACTACTCCATGAATATGGCCTGAGCAATAACCAGTAGTGTAGGTGGAAAATTTAATTTCCATGGTACTAATTCGTATATTTTTCTCCCCAGCGCATCCTTGGAGATGGTGAAGCTTTGCCTTCTGGTATGGTAAAGCCTGTCAGAGGAGAACTTATCTGGATATTAGATAAAGCAGCAGCATCAAAGCTTTAACTGTGTACAAATTATTTGTAATGAGCAGAGAGGAGACCAATAAAAATCAGTCTTACAAGACATATTGTCTCTAGTATTATATAAATTGTATCCGAATTTACCAGTAAATAATTTATGGGAAAGGTCCATTTGGCTAATAAATGAATATTGACTTATCTAAAGAAAATAATAATTGTGATTGCCAGATTTTACTATACATACTTTATTAACTGACTTAGAGTAGGAAAATATGTACTTGTCTGTGTTTTGGTGACAGTCATAGTATTATAGTATAGTATGACAGTATAGTATAGTTAAGCTTAAAGCAGAATGGTTGCAATTGCATACAAGGTTAAGCATATGGGACCAAGGTTTTGCATCAAAGAAATAACGCCTGCCATTCTGTATTGGGTTTCACTATGCTGTAATGCAGTAGGCACATCTCATGACTGGTTATAAATATATGATCTGACAAAATTAAATGCAGTACAGTAGATAATACAATGTAATAAAATCAAGCACTAAACTCAAAAGGGCCATACAGTGCTGCAATGTGCAAAGGTGATGAAGTGAAGGGCAGAAGTGCATGAAAGCAAGGGTTAGTAGGGGTAGGGGAGGGAGCAAGAAGAAAACCAAAATCACATTTAGTGCAATAAATTAGTTTCAAGTCAGAGTGAGTGCATCAAAGGCAGAACTTTCTGCAAGTTCATTTAGATATGGTGTTTCAAGTCCAGTAGAATGTCATAATTTGGGAGATTGGGAATCTTTTTGGTGTCTAGTATTAAGAGTTTCTAGATTTAATAATGCGAGTCTTGGGGTGCTTGGTAATGTTAAGAGCTTCTATATTTAAGTCATGGTGATGGTGAAAATGTTGAGCTCATATCTATTGCAACTCATTACTAGCAAGCTACAGGCTGAAGCAGTAATCTAAATGTTTCAAATTGATGTGAAAATAAGTGATAGACAACCACTTTTTAACAAAGACAAAAAACCAATATGTTATTTCACGTGGACTCTTCAACTAGAAGAGGTCATATCACATGTCCTCTTCCAGCTGATAAAAACCATGTGATATATCACAATAAAACCAACTCTTTAGCCTTGTTAAATAGTGACTCACAATTATCTTTTACTTCAGTACTTAGAGATAAATGTGCCTTATTGTGTTCTTTCACTAAGCAATCACTTATGTATAACGTCAGATATGTGAAATAAAACGTATAAATATTATGATTATTATTGCAGACTAACTTAAAATAAAGGTTCATCATCCATTAGCTATTTTTTTTTTTAGGGGGAAAGCACTAAACCCTTGGAGGCTTTGTAGCACCTGGAGAATGAGAGGCATTTAGGTTCAGTCCAAGGAAGGGGAGGATGTCCAATAGCCCTCACCAGCATCACAGAGCCTCCCTCTATGGGTTGAGTTCAGAATAGAAGCATGATGCCAAGAAACATGTCAGGAGTGGATAAATAGGTAGGAGTGTAAGAACTCTGCATAAGTGGAGTGAAAAAGGACAAAGGACATACAGTACAGTGGAACCCCGAATAGCGGCCGTAATCCACTCCAGAAGGTCAGCCTAAAGTCGAGCAATATTTCCCATAAGAATTAATGTAAATACAATTAATCCGTTCCAGACATCCAAAAATATTAACAAAAAATACATTTTTTAAAGATTAATTATAGTTTTACATACACAAAACAATGAGAACCAAGTAAAAAAATAAATGAACATTTAAATCACTATTACATACCTTTACTGAAGATTCTTGTTGGCTTATGGAAGACAGGGAGGAGGAGAGAGGGAGGACTAATTATTATTTGAAAGGGGAATCCCCCTCCATAAGGACTTCAGGTATCAAAAGCCCTCTCTGGGGCTACTTTCCTCCCTGGCTGCTACACTCCCTGCCTTCTATCCACACTCCTTGTTTCCCTGCTACACTCCCTGCCTGCTACACTCCCTGCCTCCCTTCCACACTCCCTGTTTCCCTGCTACCCCTTTTGCCACATCAGCTTCCTTGATTTGTTCTTTCTTTGCCAGGATAGAAGTGATTGTTGATTTGAATTTCTCATACATCCTGGCAAGTTCTAGCACTCGAACACCACTCACATATTTTTCAATAACTTCTTTCTTAAATTCTATCGTGTTTCTCACTTTCTTTACCAAATGCTGGCACTCTGAACTTTGGTGGCTTATTTCACAGTCACACTTAATAAACAAGCACAAAAACCAATGGATTTTAAGGAAATGTTTGGATGAATGGACGAAGTATATGCTCATTCACCAAGAGACACAGGCTCACCTACGCAGTGGCGTCCTGGCGGGAGGTGGGCTGATGTTTATAATACAGCTGATTTATGAGGCATTGGACGAAATACGGAGCAAAATTTCGGCCAAAAATCCAACCTAAATACGAATCGGCCGATAAACGCAGCGGCCGATATTCGGGGTTCCACTGTGCAGGGATCATTTACAGCACACAGAGCTCATAAAGCATTTAAATTACTGGGAACGCCTTAAATTCTTGAACATGTACTCACTGGAGTGGACGAGAGATACATGATAATATATACCTGGAAAGTACTCGAGGGCCTGGTCTCAAATCTGCACACTACCATAGCAATATACTGGAGTGAGAGATGTGGGAGGAAGCACAAAATAAACCTAGTGAGGAGCAGGGGTGCGGTGGGCACAATAAGGGAACACTGTATCAATATTCGTCGCCCTAGACTATTCAACATCTTACCAGAAGATATCAGAAGCACGGCTGGAACAAGTGTAGCAGTCTTCAAGAGAAAACTGGAGAAGTATCTTAACCAGGTGCAAGATCAACCAGGCTGTGATGAATATGTAAGGCAGCAGGCCAACAGCAGCAACAGCCTGGTTGACCAGGCAAGCATAGCCCATGGGCGGGCTCCACGAGTAGTGAGACTTGAAACTCGTCAAAGGTAAAGGTACATATCCCCTGCCCATCCACTAAATTGCATGGCTATCTGATCCTATCATGCATTCAATAAAATGGACCGACTCCACTTAAGTGCAAGTTTGTATGGTCCAAGGTTCATCCTGGACCTGTCCACTCTGATCCTTAGCAATGGGGCCTGCCAGTGACCGTCCACATCAGTGTGTTATTGTCAACATTATTATTATTATTATAATCATAACTAAGCGCTAAACTTACAAGGGTCATACAGTTTGTCAACAAGCACACACACATCATTTCATCTCCAATTTACTTACACAGTGGACCCCCGGTATTCGATGGCATCGGTATTCGATAAATCCGGTATTCGATGCATTATATCGCAAAAAATTTGCCTCGGTATTCGATTGAAAACCCGGTATTCGATACGATTCGTACGAGACGTGTCCACGTGTGGCCTGAACTGCCCCATGTGTGCCAGTGTTTACAAGCCAGCCAGTGTGTGCGCATCTAATGATACATTCGGTACATTCCATATTATCCATATTATCACTGTGTTTGGTGCTTCTTTCTGCAAAATAAGTCACCATGGGCCCCAAAAAAGCTTCTAGTGCCAACCCTTCGAGAAAAAAGGCGCTAATGACTTATGAAATGAAGAAAGAGATAATTGCAAAGTACGAAAGTGGAGTGCGTGTGTCGGAGCTGGTCAGGTTGTATAATAAACCCCAATCAACCATCTCTACTATAGTGACCAGGAAAATGGCAATCAAGGAAGCTGTTTTTGCAAAAGGTGCAACTGTGATTACGAAACAGCGACCGCAAGTGTTAGAAAATGTTGAGAGACTGTTATTGGTGTGGATAAATGAAAAACAGATAGCAGGAGATAGCATCTCTCAAGCTATCATTTGTGAAAAGGCTAGGCAGTTGCATGACGATTTGGTAAAGAAATTGCCTGCAACTAGTGGTGATGTGAGTGAATTTAAGGCCAGCAAAGGTTGGTTTGAAAGATTTAAGAATCGTAGTGGCATACATAGTGTGATTAGGCAGGGTGAGGCTGCCAGTTATGTTGTGCAACAGAAGTCCAGTGACTCTCAAGCTGGTCCTAGTGGCATTAAAAGAAGAAGGGAAGTAACCCCGGAAAAGGACTTGCTACCTCAAGTCCTAATGGAAGGGGATTCCCCTTCTAAACACTAACACCTCTCCCCTCCTCCCATCCCATCAATCATCACCAGATCTTCATTAAAGGTAAGTGTCAATTATTTTATTGTTATTGTAATTATTCTATTGCATTAAACTTAATATCTCATGTAGTAAAATTTTTTTTTTTCATACTTTTGAGTGTCTTGCATGGATTAATTTGATTTCCATTATTTCTTATGAGGAAAATTGATTCAGTTTTCGATATTTTCGGTATTCGATGAGCTCTCAGGAACAGATTAATATCGAATACCGGGGGTCCACTGTATTTACTGTGTAGTGTTATTAACAATGGTTTCTAAAGCAAGTGATGGTGCCAAGAAGAAGCATGTAACCTTAACTGTTAAGCAGAAACTGAATCAATAAGGAAGCTGGAGGCTGGTGTTTCAGTGGTCTGCATGTGTAAGAAGTATGGTGTAGCAAAACAAAATCAGAAAAGGGTAAGAAAAATTACTGTTCTGTACTCTATTGTATTGTACTGTGCTGTACTTTTAACCCATTTTCTTTTCAGGTAATACTGTATTGTATACTCTAGTTTATTCATGGTATGTCTGGCAGTCCATCAATACAGCAGACTTAAGTATGTTTTACTGGGCATTTGTTTATGTCCAGTAGTTAAGTGAGTAAGCAAACTACATTAGTTAATTGAATATTCATTATCTCATCCATACAATTGTCTATGTACAGAAAAATGCACAATACATGTATTTTGCATGTGGCATCATGCTTGTTCATAAAACAATTTATATTGTACATTTAAAAGGTCTTATACTATTTTAATTAAAAATTACCCATTTGAAAATGAAAACTATCTTTCAATGATAAACCTCTCCAATTTCACCCATTAAATAGTTTTTTATAAATACTTACATGTGGCTTATTTCAAAACTACAATTAAGACCAGTTTAATGAAATACCTCTCCAGAAAAATATAAACACTTTTTTTCATTTATATGAAAATATACAGTTGCAACTTGTAAGCACAAAATACCATTCATAATACAGTACAGTATATGAATAATAAAGCAAAGGGCTAAATGCAAACCAAAATGCAAGTGCAGAAAAAAATTCCAAAGAATGCCTCGTAAAAGAAACGATATGTTCACAGCTTGAGTTACAAGCAGCAATGGTAATATGTTTTAGAAAGCAGGTACACATATTTTAGGAACTGTGAATATACTTGGAGAAATGAGTAAGGGAGGGAGTAAGGTGAGGGAGTAAATAGAAATGAAAAAGGAATTCAAATAAAATAATGTGCATTTGGCAAAATAGATGCATGGCATGTATGCACTTTGTTCCTCATTCCCCCTCCTTACGTATTTACAAATTATTATTACAATCAAAACTAAGCACTAGACCCACAATGGATATACAGCACTGCAGGGCAGGATGTGACAGACATGTAATATGCTATATAAGAGACCAATGAGGGTTAAGAGTATGCAAGAGGCAGGGTAGGTAAGGGTAATGAGGAGTACTACAGGGAAAGTATAATCACAGTTGGTATAATAAAGCCCACATTTCCAAAAAATCAACAAGCAGACAAAATCTGGCCAGCACTTAAGTTTTTGCCCTGCTATTATAGTATCATAAACTGGTATTCTTCTGAAAAACCAATCTTTACAATTCCTAACATATTGATCTAGAATATAATATAATATAATATATATTAGTCACCCTGCCTCGGTGGGAGACGGCCGACTTGTTGAAAAAAAAAAAAATAGGAAGTGTATGGAATAGGTAGTAATTACTAAATGCTGTAAAGAGTTTTTATGAAGGTGAGAGTGAGATTACTTCCCAGTAAAAGTAGATCTTAGACAGGGATGTGTAATGTCACCATGGTTGTTTAATATATTTATAATGGGGTTGTAAAAGAAGTACGTAAATTCTAGGGTGTTGGGGAAAGGGTGGAATTAAATTATGGGGATCAAATATATAATGGGAGTTGACACAGTTACTACTTTTTTGCTGATGATACTGTGCTTATGGGAGATTCTAAAGAAAAGTTGCAAAGGTTAGTGGATGAGTTTGGGAGGGTGTGTAAAGGTAGAAAGTTGAAAGTGAACATAGATAAAAGGTGATGAGGGTATCAAACAAGTTAGATAAAGAAAAACTGGATATCACATTAGAGAGAGGGAGTATGGAAGAGTAAATGTTTTCACATATTTGGGAGTTGACTTGTCAGTGGATGGGTTTATGAAGGATGAGGTTAACCATAGAACTGATGAAGGAAAAAAGGTGAGTGGCGCATTGAGGTATCAGTGGAAACAAAATATGTTATCCATGGAGGCAAAGAAGGGAATGTACAAAAGCATAGTGCTACCAACACTCTTATATGGGTGTGAAGCTTGGGTTGTAAATGCTGCAGCAAAGAGGTGGCTGGAGGCAGTGATGTCCTGTCTAGGGGCAATGTGTGGTGTAAATATTATGCAGAGAATTTGGAGTATGGAAATTAGGAGGTGTGGAGTTACTAAAAGTATTAAGAGGGCTGAAGAGGGGTTGTTGAGGTGGTTTGGTCATTTAGAGAGAATGGATCGAAGTAGAATGACTTGGAGAGCATATAAATCTGGAGGGGAAGGAAGGTGGGGTAGGGGTCGTCCTCGAAAAGGCTGGAGGGAGGGGGTGAAGGAGGTTTTGTGGGCGAGGGGCCTGAACTTCCAGCAAGCATGCATGAGCATGTTAGATAGAAGTGAATGGAGACGAATGGTTTTTGGGACCTGACAACCTGTTGGAGTGTTAGCAGGGTAATATATTGTGAAGGGATTCAGGGAAACTGGTTAGCCAGACTTGAGCCCTGGAAATGGGAAGTACAATGCCTGCACTTTAAAGGAGGGGGTTGGGATATTGGCAGTTTGGAGGGACTTCTCAACTGTTGTATGAGTACCTCTGCGAAGACTGTGGTTATGTATGAGTGAGGTGAAAGTGTTGAATGATGAAAGTATGTTCTTTCTTTTTGGGTCACCCTGCCTCGGTAAGAGACGGCCGAAGTGTTAAAAAAAAAATCAGGAAGCTTACCTTTGTGATGTGATACTCCTAGAAAATTATAGTAACATGTTACAGCAAACATTCAGTTTAACAAATTTCAGATACAGGACAAAATCTGCTGGATTAACTGATTTGGAAGAATTGGACCAAGTCTATTGGTTACAGAATTGTCCATTACACCTGGAAAATACCTGGAGGGTGTTTCAGGGGTAAACGCCCCCGTGGCTTAGTCTATGGCCAGGCCTCGCAGTGGATAAGGACCTGATCACTGAGGCTGTTACTGCTGGTCACACACAATCCAATGTACGAACCACAGCCCAGTTCATTAGGTACTGACTTTAGGTGTCTGTCCCACTCCCTCTTGAAGACAGCTAGGGGTCTATTGTTAATCCTCCTTATGTATGTTAAAACAATCTCTACTGAATCCGCCACAATCACCATTATCTGCTCCTCCCTACTAATCATTAAATCGAGGGTTTACAGGATTGTCTTTATTGAGCTAACAATTTACTTTAAAAACTTCCTATACCAAATCCGCTGTTAACCTGTGAAGCAAAGAGTTTTGACATTCAAAAGTAACTCATGCACTGTACTGCATTACACAGATACTATAAAAGACCTGTACTTAAAAATTGCATCTCTAATAAAATAATACAGTAACAAATTCAAGAAAATGGCAAAATTCATTAATAAATTTATGTAGAAAATAACATCTTAATACTTTGGACATGCTTCATGTCTAACATGCAGATGTGTAATTATAGATCTACTTATTGCACTATTCTTAAGGAAGGGTTTAGAACTTAGTTTGGAGGGACATCTGAACTGTCATATCTACATACCTCTGGCAAGGCAATGATAGTGTGAATGATGGGGAAAGTGTTTCTTTTTTGGGTCACCCTGCCTCAGTGGGAGACAGCCAGTGTGTTAAAAACAAAAATAACAATAGTATTGTTAAGGAAGTCTCCATCCCCCACTTTTCTGCTTATTTTCAATTACACTTCATAATCATTTTTCAAATATATTCCTCTACAGGGGGTACTATTTAGGAAAATTCTTCATCCCAGTCAATCTCACATAAGCTGGGGTCCTCCACCTCGGGTATACTGGCATGGTTTTGAGACGACTGAATGTCTGGTATAAACCTCTGTGATAACTTGTCAAAATAGGAATTGTCAGGTTTTGAAATCTGAGAAAGTTTATTCCATGGATTACTTTTTTGTGAAAGGTTACTTTTTGAACTTTCTTGAGATTCTTTAATACTAGATAAACTAGATATCTGGTCAATCTTATCCCACATTTCATAAGCTTCTGCAGCACTCACAAGCAGTTCATCTGAGATATCCTCCATCTCTGCTTGATGTGTGGTTGTCAGTAGCAATCTGTCACACTCACTGCTATTGTCATCCACACACTCAACCCATTTCATTATTTCATCATCTGTCATAGATTGCCAGAAAACTGTACTTTCAGGTAATGACCATAAACGAGATCTAAACCCCTTGCAGTCTGGGTCGTGACACTTTTGATAATATGTAGCATTCTTTAGGTTTACAACATACATAACTCTGTTACTTTTATGCTCACGTCCAATGTTATAACAAAACCTGTTTTGAGCTATTTCATAAACCAACACTTCACCTTGAGAAAAGTAATACCAACACCGGATGTAGCCTGGAGCTACAACCCCCTGAATGTAGCTGTCAATTTCTGGGTATGGTGAGCTACTGAAGCCTTCAATTTCAGAGTCACATTGCTCTCTACTGCAATGGGTATTTACTCCTGATCTCGTCACTTTGTGTTCATGTTCCCCAAAGCTCAAAACTTCACAGTTATTATCCACTAAGGTAACAAGAGAATTTAGAAACAGCTGCTCATTCTCTAGAGCTTCAGCAGCATATTTAGGTACATATTCATTTTCTTGGGCAATCACTAAAGGAGAATTCTTTCCAAGCTTTGTAGATTTATATATTCTAAAATTTCTGTTTTTAGTATAGACACCTTCATCACAAAAAAGAATTTTATTATTCTTAGCATCTAAAACAAAAAGGTTTCTAACATCATCAACCTTAACATGAGGTATGTCCATCATGTTGCCTTCTTTATCCCAGTCTCTGATTTTATTACATATCATCACAACAAAATTACCAACGTGAATATTATTAGTAAAAGCAACACCTGGAAGATTAAAAATCAAATGACGACTAAATTTGTGAATGGAAGTGCTACTTAAATCTAAAACGTTTTTTCTGCTGCACTCAATGTTAAACTCTTTACATAGAAAATAGCAAATAATATTAATAAAAGTATTAGTCATGGAAATTCCATTACTATCAGGATTGATAGCAACCAAAAACTCAAGATCAAAATAAAGCTTACATACACAAAGTTCTCGTATAACTTCATATGTGCACCTTTGATTTGGATGCCGTGCACAGAGTTGAACCCACATCAAAGACGGATGAGTGACAACATAATTCCTTTTACCACTTTCACCAACTGCATCACCTTCAAAGGAGAACACCATAAGCCCTTCACCTTGCACTTGTGCAAACCTAATTGCTTCTGCCTGGCGAGGAAATATTTTCCAGGTGGTTGGTGGGCCAAGAATTCCAGGGTAATATTCACAGGGCAAAGGCCTCTGTTCCATATGCTTAGTAGCTTTTGCCACATGAAAAATCTGATTCCGAATTTTGCTGTTATATGTTGGTTGTGCTTTGCCATAGAAGCCAGCAATGCTGAATGTGGTGGCTACAGCTTCCTCTCTTGTGCTAGTCTTCATTCCTCAGAGGGTTCTAAAAATAATCTCTGATGTACAAGTACTCTTCTAGCACAGTAACTATTTCCATTATTACCTGTAAGAAAGATTAAATGTTTACAACTAGAAAATGTCTTTAAGAGCTCTGATTTCACAAGACGTATCCCTACAATGAAATTTACACATCATTTCTAAATACAGTGGACCCCCGCTTTATGATCAGCTCCCAATGTGACCAATTATGTAAGTGTATTTATGTAAGTGCGTTTGTACGTGTATGTTTGGGGGTCTGAAATGGACTAATCAATTCACAATATTCCTTATGGGAACAAATTCGTTCAGTAATGGCACCTGAACATACTTCTAGAATGAAATAATATCATAAGCCGGGGATCCACTGTACTGTATTCTGATTATCAGAAAAAAAATTACCTTGGTATACATAATATTGAATGGGTACTAATACTAACTCAGCGACATGACATAAACTTGCTAAATTTATCTAACAAAAATGAGGAAAGGCCAATGGAGGGGGTAAAGGAGGTTTTGTGGGCAAGGGGCTTGGACTTCCAGCAAGCGTGTGTGAGCGTGTTAGATAGGAGTGAATGGAGACGAATGGTACTTGGGACCTGACGATCTGTTGGAGTGTGAGCAGGGTAATATTTAGTGAAGGGATTCAGGGAAACCGGTTATTTTCATATAGTCAGACTTGAGTCCTGGAAATGGGAAGTACAATGCCTGCACTTTAAAGGAGGGGTTTGGGATATTGGCAGTTTGGAGGGATATGTTGTGTATCTTTATATGTGTATGCTTCTAAACTGTTGTATTCTGAGCACCTCTGCAAAAACAGTGATAATGTGCGAGTGTGGTGAAAGTGTTGAATGATGATGAAAGTATTTTCTTTTTGGGGATTTTCTTTCTTTTTTGGGTCACCCTGCCTCGGTGGGAGACGGCCGACTTGTTGAAAAAAAAAAAAAAAAATATATATATATATATATATATATATATTATATATATATATATATATATATATATATATATATATATATATATATATATATATATATATATATATATATATATATATCTATATATATATATACATCTAGGTAGTAGGCTGGTAGACAGCAACCACCCAGGGAGGTACTACCGTCCTGCCAAGTGAGTGTAAAACGGAAGCCAGTAATTGTTTTACATGATGATAGGATTGCTGGTGTCCTTTTTTTCTGTCTCATAAACAGGCAAGATTTCAGGTACGTCTTGCTCCTTCTACTTACACTTAGGTCACACTACACATACATGTACAAGCACATATACACGCCCCTCTGGGTTTTCTTTTATTTTCTTTCTAGTTCTTGTTCTTGTTTATTTCCTCTTACCTCCATGAGGAAGTGGAACAGAATTCTTCCTCCGTAAGCCAGGAGTGTTGTAAGAGGCGACTAAAATGCCGGGAGCAAGGGGCTAGTAACCTCTTCTCCTGTATATATTACTAAATGTAAAAGGAGAAACTTTCGTTTTTCCTTTTGGGCCACCCTGCCTCGGTGGGATACGGCCGGTGTATTGAAAGAAAGATATATATATACATCTAGGTAGTAGGCTGGTAGACAGCAACCACCCAGGAAGGTACTACCGTCCTGCCAAGTGAGTGTAAAACGAAAGCCTGTAATTGTTTTACACGATGGTCCAATTTTCTGTCTCATGAACATGCAAGGTTTCGGGTACGTCTTGCTACTTCTACTTACACTTGGGTCACACTACACATACATGTACAAGCATATATATACATACATACCCCTCTGGGTTTTCTTCTATTTTCTTTCTAGTTCTTGTTCTTGTTTATTTCCTCTTATCTCCATGGGGAAGTGGAACAGAATTCTTCCTCCGTAAGCCATGCGTGTTGTAAGAGGCGACTAAAATGCCGGGAGCAAGGGGCTAGTAACCCCTTCTCCTGTATATATTACTAAATGTAAAAGGAGAAACTTTCGTTTTTCCTTTTGGGCACCCTGCCTCGGTGGGATATGGCTGGGAATTAATCTATCAAGTTTCACCTGAGAAGGAGGGCAACTCATCAAGGCCCTCTCCCTTGAAAATGACACACATGTATGTAATATATTTATAACATTGTAAGATTATGTATTTAACCTGAATAAGGCTATTTTATTCTGCTGCCTTAAGTTCGGCTGGCAATAAATCGGTACAGTACATATAATAATACAGTATCTAGGAGATGGTGGTAACTTTTAAGTTTTATTTAGGAAATCTACAGTATCATAAATTTGTACAATAGTTCTGAGTATGCATATACATATACATGTACATGTACAGTAGGCTCCCTGTATCCACAGGGACCTGCCAAGGATGTTGAAATCATGAATAGTAGCAAACCCTATATATAAGTCCTATACATACCTATTACAAAGTTTAATTGAGAAATTATGCACAAGTGAATAATTATCACTTCTTTACTGATGGGAAGCACTTCACAGCTTCTCTTAGGCTTTGAAGAACTGCCAGCTTCTCTACTTTTGTGCTTTGGGGCCATTATTATGCAAAATTAAGATGTAATTTTGGGCCACAGTAAACCATGGATAACTGAAACTGTGGATATCAAATCAGTGGATACAGAGGTTCTACTATATATGAAAGCATGTCAATTTAACCTATGGGGGGACCCCAATGAAAATACCCTATTCAACAGTACTCCATTTTAAAGAAACTATTTGGATTAGTTTAGTAATCCAGGATAATAAAAGAAAAATAAGCAGTGACTTATTTCCAGTGGAGATTTTTTTTATGTGCTCCCAAGATGTGACCCACGACAACTGAATAACTCAAAGGAATCTATTTACTGCTATAGTAGATAACAACAGGTAACAGGTGGTCAGTCCCTCACCCCTGGTGTGTATTCAGCTCCACAGCTTTGATCAGTGTGAAGAAGATATGGAGCTGAATACACATCAAGGCTGAGGGACCACCTCATACCTACATCACTACTACTGTTGTTTCCTCTGTACCTCGAATGAAGCCTAATGAACAGGCAAAACGTCGCATCAGTAGATACCTAACTGTTGCATACCCGTCTTACTCACCAAAGGCTAAACTTGTTAAGGGTCATAGGGGATGTGGGGAACAGGAGGAAATCTGGTTTCGTCCAAAGATGAGAAGGATGGCTTCAATTGTTTAACAAGATTATTGGTAATGCTGCTGCAGAGCGGGGTTCAATGATACGTCTTCGGAGGCTTCTTACTTTATTTGTAATGTCGTAGTGGGTACACAGGCTTGTGTGTTGTGCCCATGGCCCAGGAGGGCCATCCTACGAGAGGAGAGCTAGTAAGGCCTTCTGTCTTGCTGCTTGGCCGCTGAGTGAGTGAGTGTGGGCCCAGCATCCCACAGACTTGGGCAGGCCCAGAGGGCAGCACTTCAGTGGTGCGAAATATGGACTAAGCTGGCAGACAGCATAGGCTGTCTGTGCAGACAGTACAGGCTATCTACACAATTCCTAGGACAAAAAGCACTTCACCAGCTTCCAGCAAATTTCCCCTTGAATGGTGAGGAATGGGAATTACGTAGAGAGGGGTGGGTGTCTTAATACCCTGGATCAACTGCCTTTCATCAGCATCAAGGGTTTATTTGGAATAAAATATCTAACAAAAAATGGAGTGCACAGTCAGCTTGTAAAATCCAAGCTTCACTTGGCTATCGATAGCAACTTTCAATTCTCTAAATACAGTATACATGTACTACGCACAAACTATTAGTATTACATTTATGGGGAAGTGCGAAGCCCACAGGGACCATGTAGTGTCTGGGAAAAATGTAGGCAATCAGGTTAAGTAAATTTATTTAGGTACAATTACACCCGAGTACAGTTACATAGATTTTGGGTGATTGCAGCTATCTTAAATAGTAACATATGTATAAATTACCCGAGACAACCCAAAACGAGTCAAAGATCTTATTTTCACTGAGGTCCTTGTAATATAATAATAATAATATTATTATTATTATTATTTATTTCTAAAAGTACATGTAGAAGGTATACAGGTTTACTGTATCTAACAATTAGGCTGCTATACGTAAGGTATTACAAGACCCCTAATAAAAATAAGTCAATTTTTTGGGGGGGAGGGGGGTTATCCTGGATAATTTACTCATTTGTTAATTTGTATGGCAATTGTAATCATCCAAAACTGTGTAAAATTATACCTAAACTTACTTATATTGATTATCCTGCAATGCTCTGTACGTTGCCCTTGTTCACCTAGCAGCACGCTGGTACCTGGGTGTTAGGTGACTACTGTGGGTCTCAGTCTGGAAAAAGTGGAAATAAGTCACTTTGTCTGAATTTTTGGGTTATTCTAGGTAATTACACATGTTACTATGCATGACCTTAATAGAAATAAACCAGACAGCTGCCTTACTGGGTTATCCTAATAAAATCACCTTCATAAGCCCCTAATCGGCATCAGGGCAGCTCACTTGAGAGGCCTGGGTTCCTAGCACACTCAGCTCACACACTGAGGTCAGTGGTTCAATCCCCGGTACAGATGGAAACATTTGGGCGTTTCCTTATGACATCTGCTGTCCCTCTTGAAGCACCTATCAATAATTTTATAATTATAATCATGACACCTATCAGTACAATAGTTACCTGGGTGTTAGTCGACTGGTGTGGGTCGCATCCTGGGGGAAAAATTGTCACTGATGTCAGCTATGGTCCCTATAAGATGTATTATGTATTTGTAGAAATAAATATTAGTAGTATTATTATTATTATTACTTTTATAACAGTACATTATTATTATAAAAAAGAAGCGCTAAACCACAAGGGCTATACAGCTATAACAGTACAGCTGTGTCCCAAGTACAAAGTTGCTGCTGGTCAAGGATCCAGATGGAAATAAATCACTTTTTTTGGGGTTATCCTAGGTAATTTTCACTATGTATGATAATTGTACGTATGTGTACCTGTACCTAAATAATACTATAGTGGAGGTGCAGGAGGCGTGATGTGTGATACAGACGAGATTCTTCACACCAGACAGTGTCAGCCATAACCAAAAATTCCGCCAAAGCATCTTGCTGGCTCTATATACTTGGTACAGACATTGATATCTTATTATTACAAACTTCAATATGCTGTTCATTTATAGATCCATCTTTGACATTAGCTTATTTAAAATATAAATGTTTTATATTTATTTTTATATGGTATGTGGCGTTCGCAATGGATGTTCTCACGTAGTTAATATTATTAAGCTAATCATTGCAGGTATTATATAGAAATTAATTTGTATAAAATGAAGATTATTATGATTTGATCAATTAAGAAAAGTGTGTCAATTTTAAGGGAAACACATATATTTAATTTATTATTTTTCTCATTGTCAAACGCTACCTCGTAAACAGACGCATGTCCATGTTGGTGCGTTGCCAAAATTTTAAAAACTTTGGGTTGCAAGGCTATATATCTTGCAAAGTGAGCCATGAGCCGTATTCCCAACCCGTTTGGCAGTGGTGAAGGTCAACAACAACACAGTGGTGGGTACAGCAGCAGTCCTGGGCATCAGAGCTCTGGGAGCACAGCTACCCCAGGCTTCCTCATCATGACCAGGCCACCCTCGGGTTCTAATAGATACGGTGGCCGGGGGTACAAGACCCAAGTTTCACCCTCACATCCAGGCCCCAGCGAGCAGAAGAACAGTTTCATACCCTTCTCGTCAAGTGGCGGTGGTAATAGCAGTCAAGAAAGTACCAAGAGTAGTAGTGGTGGACGTGGGAGGTATAATCGTGGAGGTGGAGGAAGACATTTTTCCACTCCAGGAAGTCCTAGGTTTGCGTATCCATACCAACAGTCTCCAGGAAGAATAAATAACTACGGGCAAAATCAGGATTTCCCAAACACTCCCAGATGTAGACCAAATCAAGGTGGGAGGAGGTTTAGTGATATGCAAGATAGATCATTTGGCGATCAGAAGAAGTTTAACTCCAATGATAATTCAAGACGAGGAAGAGATAGAGGTCCACTAAGTGATGTTCCGATTGATAAGTTTATCTCTCATAATATGGTGAAAGATCCTTGGGCTGATTTTAATGATGAAGTAGAGGATAATGTGGATAGTGTGCCAGTACACCCACAAGAAAATCCAGTTATTGTAACTTTAGACGACTCAGAAATAATAATCGACTCTGATGCCAGTGTTATTATTGAGAATTCCTACGAGGAAGGAATAAGTGGTACAGAGGGTGACAGTTCACCCGTGCATGACACAGGAAGTGACTCGCCATATGTTGCTACACCTTCTACCTCAGAGAAAGATACAGGAAGTGATTCCACTAGTGATGCATAGTGGTTTTCAAATAGAGAATAATAATGTCTGTCCTGTGGTTAGACTGTATTGCAAGGTGTTAGAATGTTGTTTCCTTGAATGTCTGCCATGGTGAAATTGATTTGACTTTATTTATTAAATTAAATAACAGTATATTGTGAGAAATTATTTTGAAACAAAACTTGTATATAAATTCTATTTGTAGCTATTGGTGTAGCTAGCTGTTAACTTAGCTAGTTAATAGTTGTTATAAATCCACACCTGCAAAAAAATCTAAAAAGTTAAACATCAGTAGGCAGAGAACTCTAACAAAACACAACATGTGATTATTAATTTAATTTGAACAAGGACAGGGTTTAATTTATAGTTATTTGAGAAAATTTATAATAGTTATTTTTTATGGTCAAGGAAACTGATTGCTTCTAGGGCTCCTACTAGCCTCCTCAAAATATTTAAGTACAAAAATATGAACAGAATGTACAAATTTATCAATCAGTTAATAAAATCTAGATTTCTATACCATTTTGCAGATTTCTAGTTAAAAAAGATTCTTTGCTTTTAATGGACATGCTGTATTAAGTTATACTGCAATACACAGTGTTCACATTGTCATACACTTATATGAATTATTTTATTACATCTCTGGCATTTATGTCTTATGGAACTCGTAAACATTAGTACTGAAAACTCCTTTATTTGTACCTGCTATTTGATGAATGTTGCTTATACATTTTTACTAATTTATCGTGCGATAGTGTTGAGATTATGACTAGACTGCAATGAGATATTTTGAATAAAATATGACATTAGTAATTATGAAAATTTAATATAATGTTCTACCACCCATGGTATTTATTACGTTATGAAAAATAGTGCTTTTAATTTATTATTTTCACTGTTGGTATATTAAGCATAATGCTATACTATACTGTATAATGGTATTCTATATCTTTCTCTTTATTGTTTAATTCTGCATTAACTATTTATTGTTTTACACTGATTTTACCTCTTTATTGTTTTCCTTAAAGGAATTAGCTTAAGTTCATTCTGTATGCATACAAGTAGGTATTTAATACTCTAAAAATAATGATGGTACAGTAGCTGCAACTTAAATTCATAGCCTTCAGAATGTGTATAGTTAATTTCACTTAAATTTATATTGAGATTTTGCTAAGAAAGAATGAATTTTATTTTTTTTTATATTGAACATATAATTTATTACTGGCTGTAGAAAATATCCATCACAGTTTTAAACCTGAGTGAGCATGTGATTTTGACAAACAATATGCACACTGAGCAAGAGACTTGTGTATGTTTCAAATGGCATCTACATAAAAAGTCATAATTGGAAAAAATATTAAGAATAAAATATTTCATGATATTTTATAAATATATAGCATAAATACAATATATATGTATAGCGTATAATAATAGTACAGTATTCAATATTGTACAGAATATCAAAATGTTCATTCACTCTATAGCCAGAATTAGTTTTTGAAGCTACATATTCGCATCAATTTTGTCGTAGACCTGTGCAGCCTAAAACGATTAATCAGTTTTAACCTCCAGGAGAGGTAAATACTCGTCATAGTTTTTAAATATTTTGACAAATTTGAATAGTTTTATAAATACTGTACTTTACTGCTTGTCTAAGACATGTTTTTAATTATTAAATGTAAAATTTAAACATTCATAATTTTAATTTTGGTAATCCTTAGTAATTTGCAAAAAGTTAGTGTTGCTGGTGAAAGGTCCCTGATACAAAGAACTGCAGTCACCCTCCCCTTCCTTGGACCAAACCTGATTATCTCCCATTTCCCAACTGCTATAATACATACAACTCTTACAGGTTTGTAGTTGACAAAGAAGCAGTAAGTGGAAACTAAGCGGCCTGCACAGCAGCTTTGTAATAGTTTCCAGTTGCTGCTTGTGTGTCTTTATCAGATATGATTTGTTGGTATTCCCATGCCATTTATTACTGTCCTACAGGTTTAAGGCTTACCATGATTCTACTGTACAGTATAATACCATACAGGAGGGCTCCGCTTTACCATGCTTCACTTTAAGGCACTTCACAAATACACCAGTTTTCAATTATAACCATTCTTCATTTATTCAGACTTCCTACAATATATTCACCACCATACCATACCACTGATGTGTTCTGAGAGTCTTTCCACTCCCAGAGCTCGGCCATAGGCTAGGCTCGTCTGGTGCTAGCTTTTTCAACCAGGCTGTTGCTGCTATTGGCCATCTGCCCCACATATCCATCACAGCCTGATTGATCTGGCACCTAATGAAGATACTTGTCCAGTTTCCTCTTGAAGGCTTCTACACTTGTTCCAGCCATGTTTCTGACATCTTCTGGTAAGATGTTGAATAGTCTGGGGCCCTGGATATTGATACAGTGTTCTATTATTATCCCCACTGCACCCCTGCTCCTCACTGGGTTTATTTTGCACTTCCTTCCATATCTCTCACTCCAGTATGTTGTTATGGCAGTGTGCAGATTTGGGACCCGGTCCTCGAGTACTTTCCAGGTATATATTATCATGTATCTATCTCTTCTCCACTCCAATGAGTACATGTTCAAGACTTGAAGGCATTCCTAGTAATTTAGGTGCTTTACTGCCTCAGTGTGAGCCGTAAACAATCCCTGTATTTCTCCTGCTTTGAACGGGGCCATCAGCACTGAGCAATATTCTAAATGAGGGAACACTAGCGATTTGAAGAGTGTCACCATGGGCATTATTTTCCTTGTTTTGAAAGTTCTCAATACCCACCCCGTCATCTTCCTGGCTGTCGTGATCTTTGTCTTGTTATGGTCTTTAAAAGAAAAGTCAGCTGGCATGATTATTCCTAGGTCTTTTACGTGTTTCTTTCATTCTATTTGGTGACCCACTTGAGTTTTGTATACAGTATAGTGTTCCTTTTGAGTTCTTCATTTTTTCCATTCCCTATGAGGATAGACTAAGGGCCCTGAATCTGCACTCTCTAGAAAGACGTAGAATTTGGGGGGATATGATTGAGGTGTATAAATGGAAGACAGGAATAAATAAAGGGGATGTAAATAGTGTGCTGAAAATATCTAGCCTAGACAGGACTCGCAGCAATGGTTTTAAGTTGGAAAAATTCAGATTCAGGAAGGATATAGGAAAGTACTGGTTTGGTAATAGAGTTGTGGATGAGTGGAACAAACTCCCGAGTACAGTTATAGAGGCCAGAACGTTGTGTAGCTTTAAAAATAGGTTGGATAAATACATGAGTGGATGTGGGTGGGTGTGAGTTGGGCCTGATAGCTTGTGCTACCAGGTCGGTTGCCGTGTTCCTCCCTTAAGTCAATGTGACCTGACCTGACTAGGTTGGGTGCATTGGCTTAAGCCGGTAGGAGACTTGGACCTGCCTCACATGGGCCAGTAGGCCTTCTGCAGTGTTCCTTCGTTCTTATGTTCTTATGTTCTTATCACCATTTAACGTCATGCTGTTCTCCACTGCCCACTGGAAAACCCTGCTTATGTCTTCCTGTAATTTTTCAGTGTCCTCTACCATAGTGACTTTCATGCTTATTTTAATGTCATCTGTAAATGATGATACAATTTTTAGCTAGTGCTCTACTACCTCCCTTATGCCAAGGAGCTATGTCTGCACTCTTTAAGGCCTCCAGTATTTCACCTAGATCTAAGCATTCAAAAAATATTTTAAAGTAAGTAATGTATGTATGCACTGTATATGCATTTTTTTGGCATAGCTCTATTGCTCACTTTATGTATGATATTGTAAACATGTTAATCAGGCTTTGGTATGCATATGATTAAGTTAGAATACAACAAATTGTTTTCTGTCAATTTATGATTGGAATTCTAACCATCATCCTACTACTGTCTGGTTTGTGTAGTTGCACTTTCAAGCTTATGATTCGAACACGTGCGATATACAGAGATACCACATGGAGAAATGACTGGCACCGTTCTGAGGACTGCCAGGTTGCACCGTCAGTTCCCCAGGTTGTCCTGTATGCAGGGATGCAGGATTCACTTCCAATATCTACACTGCCCTAATACACACACTAGCTGACCTTGCTGAAAATCCCACCTTTGACACACAATTTTTAATGGAAACTTAACATATTACTCCAACTATGATATCAGTTTTACATCCACGCTAATCCCCAACCTCCATTAACTCCTACCCATTGCACACCCTTACCCTTCACACTCCAACCCTTCACACACTGCTACCCTTTGCACACTTCTGTCCTCATACACTACACACAGCACTGTATGACTCATGCAGGTCTAGTGCATAGAATGAATATGTTATCTATTCTCATAAGTAAAATACTGTAGGTAAAATTCCTCTCAAGGTGAGCAGTTCTTGACCAAGGAATTAGGTATATCCTCCCCTTCCTTGAACTGACCCTGAAACTCTCTTAATTTTTCAGCTTGATAGTACAATTTCTTAGTGGTCCAGAAGAGTAAATATGATGTTTCACAATTTTAATAATGAAATTAACAAATTAGAGGCTACAGATTGCACTAAAAATAAATCTAAGATACACTTAACAACAGGAAATTTGAAGTTGACCAATCAAGGTATTCTCCACCTATCATACTGGATACAATGATTCCAAGTATTATTAAAAATTGTAGTATACGTATTAGCAAAGTTGCACTTACATTAAATAAACTTACAGGGGTATCATAAAGATACACTGTGGTAACATTACATTGGATGGTTTTACAATTTGGTTACAATTTTAGGAAAATATATTACATTTCTAAGGAATGCCCAGTGTTATGCAAAGCATTTTGGGCAAACTTATTCTGGACCTTAAAAATTAATTACTGTACTAGCATATATAATTAACCTTTGTGACAAATTAGGATGGATATTTTCATACATACTGTAAAAGCTAGGGAATTGCTTAAAAATAACTACGTAATTGTATAGTATGACCAAGAATTATAATAATTAGGTGTATTGTACCAGTCATGGTATTGTGCCTTTTTGTTCTTTAGGCGTAAGGTTAGTCTGAAGATGAATTACAGTGCTGAATGACCCTTGTGGGTTTAGCACTTAGTTTTGATTATAATAAATACATAATAGGAAGGAATATGACATGATGGTTTCTTGAAGCATCAGGAATTTATTTGCAAAAGCAGTTTAAAGGAGAGGTGGTAGAAGATTGAAGAAATAATGAGTAGCTTATAACTGCAAGTTGGCAGCTAGACACACAGGTGAATTACTTTAGATTAAGGAGGTAATTTTGACAATGTTCTTTAAGGAGTAGACAGATAGAGGAGTTTAAGAAACTGACAAGGAGTTCCTGGTCAGGTTAAGTCAAACACATGGGATGTCAGAAAGGCACTTGTTTCTTGTACTGTGGAAATGTTTTCCTTTACAACATTTGATGAAAAGTTTTAGGTCAGGGTTTGAATTTGTGTTCAGTGTCTTGTATACATGGTATGCACAACAGAAGGTATTAATGATTTGTATATCGAGTAAATTTCAACCTAGGACCTGATTGATTATTCTGATAGCAGATTTTACTTATGACAGGATGAGGTGATTAGCCATTGTAAATCCCCATGCAAATGTACTATAGGGGAAGTAAGGATTATTATTTTATCAAAAAAGAAGCGCTAAACTACAAGGGTTATACAGCATGGTGAAGTAAGGATACTGATGCTTTGAAGCCAGTCAGCTGAGACATTCATTGTTGTTGAATGGAAATCAATATTACAATTTGATTAATAAAATCGACAAATTTGAACTTATGGGACCAAAAAACAAAATTGAGAACCTTTCATAAAGGAAAAAACACAAACCGTAATGGAATGAGTTTTATATAACATGAACTACAGGGCACCCGCACATTCCAATAATTACATGAACTGTTTCCCCATGACAGTAAACCAGCAATGACAATTTGAAGCCAATCGGACGAGTTTGAGTTCACAAACATCCTAGTATTTCAGCGAGTCTCTTACATTGGTTCAAATGTGGTGCAGAGTGGAGGTGGATATATACGGGTAATGAAAAGGTTAGATTCTGTAACTGGGGTATTTCCAGTATTTCTTCACACAAAGCAAATAAAAATAAAACATTCGCCTCAACTCGGGGATAAAAAAAAAAAACTGAACATTGTACAAGGCAACACAGGATATACACTGAGGTGTATGTCAGCGTATATACAATGAGTATACTTTAATGACAATTTTAAGGATTGAAGTATTATTGACTGGTGGTGTACAACGAAAGTACAACCTTAACTAGATGTGTGCAAGTCGCTGAGCGATCTGAGAGGTATCCCCTATATGCCATATCTCCACCCCTCTGTACCTGAACCCACAGAAGACGTCTATTAGAGCTGGACCCCAAATCTTCAAGAGGCAAAGGACCCCAAGGATATAACTCACCACCTTAAGAGGTCGTTAGCTGAAGAACACCAGTTCGATTATTATTATAAAAAAGAAGCGCTAAACCCCAAGGGCTATACAGCAACACCTGTTTGAGATCCAGGAGCTTTAACTCAACATTCAAGAAATCTAGTAGTTGTGCCTTAACACCCTCAAAAGGTCCAGAGCTGTAGCTCAACATCTTTAAAAGGCCCAAAATCTGGAACCTAACCGAACCACAAGAAAATTTTGCGACATTAAACATTACTTCAAGAGTCCCTAAAGGGTCCCAAGAGTTGTAGCTCAACACCCTCGAGAGGCTAAGAAGCCAGGTAAAGACACTGAGGCAATAATAGTCGTAATGGGAGGTTACCCGCTCTACATCTTCAGTGCTGTATGACCCCTGTGGGTTTAGCTCTTAATTATGATTATAATAATAATGTGGGGGTACAAGATAAAAAAAAATCTTTAACGGCTAAAGATATTTGCGTAAAAAAAAATTATGTAGCCTTGAGGCCCAATAACGTTCTGTTTAGTTTTTCATTTTTTTAATTAAACAACGAAAATGAAAAGTTATTAACGTATTTTTATTTTACGTATTGTCACAGGCGAAGAAAATAATCAGAAAAACTTAATATTGGTTGTACATGATTAATACATAAACATTTGGAAAACTTGTATATATCCCTTTGACTGTCGCGGCCGTATATATACGTT